CTCTCAAACCAACCTTTGCTGGCCTTAAATTCACTCACATCACACTAGTTGCAGGCATTTTTTTAATTAAATCCTGATGCAACTTCCTAGCCTTTTCACTTATGATCACTTGAGAGATGCTATCTCCTGCTATCTGTTTTTCATTTATCCACACCAATAACAGTCTCTCAACATCTTCTATCACCTGCGATCTCTGTTTCAAAAACACAGTTGAACCTTTGGCAAGAACAGCTTCCTTGATTGCCGTTTTCTTGGACACAATAGTAGCGATGGTTGATTGGGGTTTAATATACAACCTGGCCAGCTTGGAGACATGCCCTCCACTTTCATACTTAGCAATGATCTCTTTCTTCATCTCTATAGTAATTCTCACCCTTATTCCTGTAGGGTTGGCACTAGAAGCTTTCTTGGGGCCCATGGTCATTTATTTTGCAGATAAAATCACCAAAAACACTGTAATAATACGAAATGTTCCGATTGTATGCTTGGATGTTACAGCAGAGGCTGGCTGGTAAACAATGCCACCGGCGGAACATGTGAGGCTGGCTCAGGCTGCACATTAGACGCGTCTCGGACGAATAGCGTTGAGCGGGTTTTTTAGCGGTATGCGAGGCAAAATCTTAGCGATAAAATGTATCGGTATGCGGATTTAACGTTATGTGATGCCAACGGTATGCGGGGGTCCACTGTATTGGGTCTTTTTTAGAAAATTATTAATACATTCGTCAATGTCTGTATAGATTTCTAGCTCAGTGTGCCAGTCAATGTTTGTTACTGCTGTTGTGAAGTTATTAATGGCTGCCTCATTGTGAAGTCTGAAGGTGACTTTAGTAGTGTCTTGGGGTAATTTACCAAGAGTTGTTATGAGGAAAGTAGGGTAGTGGTCTGTGGTATTATCTGTGATTATGCCTGATTTTAAGGGGGATATGGTGTTGGTCCAGATGTGGTCAAGTAGGGAAACACTAGTCTCTGTAACTCTTGCAGGTTTTGTTACTATTGGTAGCAACATGCAGTTACTCATTGTGTTTGTGAATTCAGTAACGTGTGGGTCCTGGTCTTGTAGGAGATTTATATTGAAGTCACCTGAGAGTAGTAAGTGATCTTTGTTCATACGTGCATCAGTTATCATACTTCCTAGGTTTTGACTAAATTGGCTAATGTTTGACTGTGGAACTCTGCAGATGGTTATCAATGTGAGAGGTTTTTGTAGGTACTTGGATTTGAATTTAGCTATTATATATTCCCCATGTTCATCCCTTGTGCAAGTATTAGTGATACATTCTAGTTGGTCTGAGTAGTATATAGCTGTGCCACCCCCTTGTTGGTCTGGCCTACAGTTGTGTATGGCTGTGTAACCAGGAATGGCATAGACATCAGTAGTATCAGGCTTTAGCCAGGTTTCAGTTAGTGTAATGATGGACATATTGGCATGCAAGGAATTTAGTAATGCTATGAGGTCATCATAATGCTTGCTTAAGGATGTGATATTGTAGTTAAAGACAGTTATGTTGTTGTTGGCTCTGAGGAATGCCTTTGATTGTTCTGCTGTGTAGTAATTACAGTAAAGGTTTGATTCATTTAAGTCATTAAATAAGAGGTTGGTATCAGGATCAATGCTTGTAATCATAAGATTTGTAGTGAATCTATAGTTAGATTTAAGTATAAAACAAAGTAAATATTCTAAAGCTAAAAAATAGCACCTGAGTTATTTAACAAATGTAATAAAAAAATGAGCTAAGGTAGTTTTTAAAGCTAAAATAAAGGAAACAATATAAGAGAGACTAAAATAATTTGTGGTGAACAAATAAAGTGATGATCAAATAATGGAGCTTGGGAATATGATAGTAGGTAGTACTTTTAAGGTAATTCTTTTAAGTTAGAGTTAGGGAAAACAATATAATGAGTTTTGGAATATAATGGCAAAATAGTGAACTTATTACAATTTAGCACCTGAGAATAGCACCTTGATTATTTTAACAATTGTGAATATATGAGCTAGGGTAGTTATATAAAGCTAAAAATAATGGAGAAAATATATAAGGGACTAAAGTAATGGTAAACAAAGTTAAATGAACAGATTGTCACTATGAAATAATACTGGTTTTGGAGTAAGATCTGATTTGTAATATTAAATAAGTTGAGTAGTTTATTGCACAATAAAAAGTAAAAAAAATATGAGGTAGTTGGTACTAGCTCGTAAAAGATAGTTTTTGGGACTTACAAAAAAGTAATTGGAATATACACTAATTGCACACACAATAAAAGGTGACTAAAACAAGTACAGTGGACCCCCGATTAACGATATTTTTTCATTCCAGAAGTATGTTCAGGTGCCAGTACTGACCGAATTTGTTCCCATAAGGAATATTGTGAAGTAGATTAGTCCATTTCAGACCCCCAAATATACACGTACAAACGCACTTATATAAATACACTTACATAATTGGTCACATTAGGAGGTGATTGTTAAGCGGGGGTCCACTGTAGTGGTAAACAAAATAAATGGACAGGTAAGAACGATGAATAATGTTAATTTGGAGTAAGATTTGACTTGTAACACAAAATTATGAGCAATTAATAGCAGTAAGAAAGAAGTATAAAGTATTGGAGGTAGTTGGCATTAGCTAGTGATGAAAAATAAAAAAATAATAATTCAAGATTGTAATAAAGTTGGTAGAATTACCGACAATATGTAAAGTAAAAGGACACAAGTGCAACTAATGTGACATTTATTGTGGCAACATTTCGCTCTCCAGGAGCTTTATCAAGCCATTACAAACAATACATGGACACAGAGGGTATATAAAGGCTCAGAGTGAGGTGAATACTAGTGAGGTACCATTTCGATGTTCACTAGTGGTAGTAGTAGTAGTAGTAGTGGTAGTGACAAAAGTAATACAATATGGTAGAGCAATTAATTCGTACATGAGTAAAAGGATATAAAAGCTATTACTTGGGTAACATAAAAATAGGTTGGACAAATATAAACTGGAATGAGGCAGCTTGTTTCAGTGTTCACTCTCTGTGCTTTGTGTAGTATAACAGGAGAGACTATGTGATGGCAGGGTTTACTGTTTTCAGGAGGATTCTTGCTAAGACTTCGGAGATGGTGAAGCTGCCGTTGTTTTGTTTAATTGTATTTGAAACAGCGATCAGTGCTGATTCAAGGCACTTGCGTGTGCGGAAATTAGTTTCTTTTATCACTAATTGGGCGTCCAATTAGTGATCACTAATTGGGAGTCCAATGACAAGCTACCTTTCCTCGACGTCCTCATTCACAAAGTAGACAACAACCTAAGATTTCAAGTTTATCGGAAACCCACCAATAAAAATGATCTCACACACTTCTATTCCAGTCAAGATACCAAGACCAAAAGAGGCATCATCATCGGGTTTTTCCTAAGAGCATACCGAATTTGTAGTCCTGAGTTTCTTGACGAGGAATGTACTTACATTCACCAAACATTCACTGAGTTACAATTTCCTCCTTTTTTCATCAAAGACTGCAAGAAAAGAGCTCTTCAGATCATCAATTCTCCACGCATCAACACCGCTCCCAACAAAGTTATAATTCTTCCAACAGCCAGGTTGCACTAAACGTCTCAAAAGTACTTTCACAAGCTAACACCAGAGTCGCCATCGCTTCTACCACTTCAATAAAGGATCTAACCAGGACAAAACCCAAGCACCACGAACCAGTCAATGCAGGAGTTTACACTATACCCTGTGGAGGCTGTGACAAGATCTACGTAGGTGAAACAGCAAGAAACCTCGACACCCGCCTCAATGAACACATATACGCATGTAGGAACGACAACTTAAACAACGCCTGTGCACAACACCGAAATTCCACCAATCATCTTATGAAATTCAGAGACGCCCAATTAGTGATAAAAGAAACTAATTTCCGCACACGCAAGTGCCTTGAATCAGCACTGATCGCTGTTTCAAATACAATTAAACAAAACAACGGCAGCTTCACCATCTCCGAAGTCTTAGCAAGAATCCTCCTGAAAACAGTAAACCCTGCCATCACATAGTCTCTCCTGTTATACTACACAAAGCACAGAGAGTGAACACTGAAACAAGCTGCCTCATTCCAGTTTATATTTGTCCAACCTATTTTTATGTTACCCAAGTAATAGCTTTTATATCCTTTTACTCATGTACGAATTAATTGCTCTACCATATTGTATTACTTTTGTCACTACCACTACTACTACTACTACCACCACTAGTGAACATCGAAATGGTACCTCACTAGTATTCACCTCACTCTGAGCCTTTATATACCCTCTGTGTCCATGTATTGTTTGTAATGGCTTGATAAAGCTCCTGGAGAGCGAAACGTTGCCACAATAAATGTCACATTAGTTGCACTTGTGTCCTTTTACAATAATTCAAGATATACATAATAGTAACGTACACTATATGCACCACACGTATATATGCATTAAGGGCACTTATCTAATCTATTACAGTAATGTTAGCTTTTCTAAGGAAGGTAGAGAAATCATGTTCGTTTGAGATGGTATATTGTTGTCCTGTTGATGTTTTCCTTACTAGTATTTTCCCATCTCGCGTGAAACACTGATTTATGTTGTTTTCGGTTCTGTGGACTGGCTATAGCTGTTTTCAGAATATTTTCTGGTCAACACTTTCCGATATAATCTTCTCTTAAAGGTTTTGGATCTGTTCTCGAGGTTGGTTATCTTGGTTTCCCTCGTCGCGAAAGGGTGTTGCTTTGATATCTTTGATTTTCTTTTCTAGAGCTATGATGTAGTCCTTGATGTTGTCAGTATACTCATACCTGAGTTATCATGGGTGAATCCTTTGAAGGGAGTGGAGTTGGAGGGGGAGTCAGCCATGTTTGTTGCTGTTGTTGTTCCCTGGTTGGCGGTGGTGAGGGGGGTTGATGATACACCGGCGTCCTGCTGGGTAGACAAGTTGAGTTCTAGGGTCCTTGCTGTTAGTCTTTATACTGATGTTGTTTCTTCTGCGATATCCTTTCATAGTATCACTGAAGTAGATACTGTGTAGCTATGGAGGAGGAGGCTTGTTTTCTTAGAGCTTGGGTTGAGTGGTTGTCTGGCAGCGGAGGCAGTGTTTGGGTTAGCGGGGCTGTCTTCCTTAGATCTTTTAATTTTGTCAAGATTTGGGTTACATTCTTAGTATTCTTGGGTCATTTTTGGTCTACGTGGGTTCATGTAGTTGTACCTTCACTTAGGCCATCACAAGTTTTGATGAGCGATAGTTTCTTGAGGAAGAAGAGCTGGTAGGATGCCGCTGCTGCCGAACACCGAAGGTACGGCCGGAACACTGTCTTTGTAATACTCATTTGTGCTAAATTGTTATCTGTTTACAATAATGCTTTTACAACTGAATATATCATTGCTTAGTTAATCTTAAGCCTGCCCATAATGCTCTGCATACAAGGGGCTTTGGCATGTTGCACTTTAATAACTGTATTCCTTTGTACTTCTCTGTATCATGTTCAAATTAATTAATAAATAAATGCACTGCATGGGCAGGTTTTTTTTTTTGTATACTCTGCACACTCACCGCACAGACCCATTCTCTCATATCTAAGCCAAAATTTACTACTCTCAGCTTATCTGAGCAAGCTGAACTCACAACAGGTCTATGTGACGAAGCCTGATGACAACAAAGATCTACTTGAAGGACAGTGAAAGGGTTAATTCTGTTTATAAAATGTTAAACAACCATGGTGTTATTGTACATCCCTGTCCAAAGCTAATTTTTACTGGAAAATAAACCCACTCTCTCCTACATACTTTAACCTGAGCCTCACTACCCAAAAAACTCTTTACAGATTTAAATAACCTACCACCTATTCCATTATCTGCCACACTGCTCTCCTAGCCATGCAATCATGTACTTTTTCTAAATCCATAAATACAACAGAAACCTTACCTTTATCTAATTATTGTTAACTTATATGCTTCAATGTAAACACTTAGTCTGCACATCCCCTTAATTCTTACTGCAATAAATGTACCATACACTTTACCCAGTATACTCAATAGGCATAATATTTTCGTAGACAGTTGCACATTAGTACACCCATAATTACATTAATGAGAGTGTGATAATTATACAAATGAACTGATACACATCCCCTTGATTGCCTAATATGCTTAATCTTCACAAGCTATGAAACTAGCCTTGCATACCAAAACTATGGAATACAGTGGTACCCCGAGTTTTGTACCACTCCCAACTCAAACAATTATGTAAGTTTATTATTATTGTAAGTGCTTTTGTATGAGTATTTTTGAGGGGGTCTTCAATGTACTAACCTAATTTACATTACTCCTTATGGGAACAAATTTGTTTAGTATCGGCACTTGAGCAGCCTTCTTGAACGAAATAAGTTCGAAACTCGGGGTACCACCGTACTTACTTGATTTGGACATAATTTCATATGCATTCATGGATGAATTTCAACTTGATAAGTAAGGAGTTGAGTAGAAGAAAAGAACAGGTGCCACCCCAGCCAAAGTCATAGTGAATGAATTGATTCCTCAATGTTTTGTCAGTTTGTGGGAATGTGCAGGTACGTATTGTCAGCTGCAACCTTAAGTTAGGCTCAGAGCACCATAAAGTATGGTAATGTGAGATTCATAGCTTTGATCTACCCCATATCAGCATTTTTACCCACTCTTTGAATCTGGCACTTATTCTTTTCTGTCATGCAATGCTTTATATGGTCAAACTCAAAAGATGTAAAACATAAATGTATTGTACATAGGAATACAAGTACAGAAGTAGCACAAATAGAGAAAAAAAATATTTACAACATACCATTTCCTTTCCTTCTTGATTCACATTCCTTTCTGAGCACATGGCAGTTAAGAATCTACCCAAGTCTATGCCAGATTTAATTTTTGAAAAGCACAATGACAATTCTGCTCAACACTTAGCTGAACCCTGGGTTTTGGGTTTAAGAGACAGAGAAAGAGAAGAATCTTCTTCAAAGAGCCAGAGTGACAGAACAGCATGAGTGTCCTGACAGGCAGAGAAGCTAGCAAAGGGTTTATTCCCACCCTTCCACACCAGAAATTGGAAAATTTTATCTCGATGAACTTATCTTTGGTCACTGAATCATTCCTAAAATCAATCAGGCTTTCATGCAGCCCAATTCCAAGAGGAAGGGCCACTAGATTTGCATGGAATGGGTCGTAAACCAGTGTTATAACCAAATCCTGGAAATATGAACTGAATTCCTTATCTAAAGAAATGTGGCAGTTATGATGATGTGAACTCTCTCAGAAGTCTTTCTCTGTTTGTGAAAAACTGTCCACATGGTCAAACATGACAGACTCTAGCCCTTACATGGGCCTTCAACATTAAATTTTTCCTGAAATCTCCTGACCCAGTCTATGAAAACAATGATAATAGTATCACCACCATGTATGCCCTTGTTGAAAGTTAGATGTAGTACCCCCTTCCTCATCTTATGCAAAACTCTGATTATACAAGGGTAAGTATACTGCTCCATCTTGTGGCCAGAAACACAGTAAATAGGGATTGACAAAAATCCTTTGATCAAAAAATCCCATTAACCGAATCCCATTTTCCCAGACACCCACGCTGTAATTTGAGATACTATACAGTGCATGCACTGTGAAGGATGGGTGAGAACATTGCAGTTCATAGGGTCATTTGAATTATGATGTCCATGCATTTCTCAGAAGATAGTAACTGAATGAGTGACAGTGAATGTGTTTCCTTCTTCTGCTACCAAATCCTGATGAGAAACAGCTGTGGTAAAAACAAAATTTAGTACAGCTACAACATCTCAATTAAAGAGAGAAGTACTACTGTACAGTAGGACCCCTATATCCATGGGGGATAAGTTCCAAATACCTGCTGTGGATACCAAAACCATGGATAGTAGTGAATACATCCTTATTATCAAGATTTAATTGATAAATTACACACAATAAGTGGAGAATCACTTTTTTGCTGATAGGTAGCCCTTTACGGCTACTCTTATGCTTTGAAGAGCTTCCACCATCACTACTTTTGCACTTTGAGGCCATCATTACGAAATATTAAGGGTTATTTTTGGGCCATGGTAAACCGCAGATAACCGAAACTGCCGATACCGGACCTGCGAATACAGAGGTCCTACTGTATTGTATTTAGGGATTATCCAGAGAAAGAGAAGAAACACACTGAAAATATGACTATGTCTCATTAAAAGCATGTATGCAATTTATTGAAAAATTCATTTGCAACACTTACCTTGAGAAGATTCATGTTGCTGCCCTAAAGACCCTGACGTTCCCGGACCCGCATATAACCCTGGAAAAGAGTAATTAGAAGAAAATGTAGTGTATCTTCCATGCAAAGTGCTGCAAAACAATCTTGAATAAAAGAAACTCTCTCCAAAATTTCAAGCAAATTATTAATTATATTTATGAAGTAGAATTAAACCTATGGGTGTTATACAGTGCCTGGGGAATAGGAGGCATTCAGATTTTATCCAAAGAAGGGGAGAGTAGCGTAACCCTTTCAGGGTTCAAACCCCCAATCTGAAGTGTCCACAGGGTCCAAGAATTTAAAAATAAAAAAAAAAAATTTTTTTTCCTTATAAAATTGTAGAGAATCTTTTCCTGAAGGTAATAAAACAAAACGTACAAAAATTTTATGAAAAACTGGTGAAATAACGCTTTCGCAAATTTTGCTGTCAGCAATGTTTATGCATCGGAAATTTCGCATACTTCGAGTCCTATTCTGGGCCAATTACATTTTTCCAGTCCACCAAATTCTTAGCTATTTTGCTAATATGTCTTCAATTCTATTGACTGAGCACAAGAAACTTCTAATCAACTATTTCAACTACCCAATAAAGTGATCAGAAATTGGTAATTTGGCTAATTTCACACAACTCTGAAAATACACCAATTTCAAAATAGGCTCCAGAATGAACAATGCAGGCATTCCAAGCACTAAAATAACAATTACTCTGTTCATCAGTTACATTCTAAGACTTCACACATGAATTCCATTTTGAATAATTATTCACACAAAAAAACTAAAAGATTTACTGTTATGCATTATTGTAATAATTGTATAAATAATTAATGTCAGCGCACATTTGCATATTGGATGAGGGATGTGAACTGTTAACTCTGGAATATCAGCAAAAATTGAATATTTCCGCTAATTTGAGCTCAATTTCAAGCTACTTCAAGTCCTGAAACCAGTCAAAATCATTACGAATTTATTAACTTTTTTTACTACGGTATTTGAGGGAGTAGATCGTGGTAACGAATATGATACTGCATATATGGACTTCAGTAAAGCTTTCGACAGAGTCCCACATCAGAGACTACTGAGGAAAATTAAGGCACATGGAATAAGAGAAATTTTTTCCTGGATAGAGGCATGGTTGTCAAATAGGCAACAGAGAGTTTGTATAAATGGGGAGAAATCAGAGTGGGGAAGCGTCACGAGCGGTGTTCCACAGGGGTCAGTGTTGGGCCCCCTTGTTGTTCACAGTCTACATAAACGACATAGATGAGGAATAAATAGCAACTTTAGCAAGTTTGCCGATGACACCAAAATAGGTCGATTAATTCATTCTGACGAGGACATTAGAGCACTCCAGGAAGATTTGAATAGACTGATGCAGTGGTTGGAGAAGTGGCAGATGCAGTTTAACATAGACAAATGCAAATTTCTAAACATTGGACAGGTAAATAACTATGCCACATATAAACTAAATAATATAGATCTTAATACTATTATGGACTACAAAAAGGATTTGGGAGTTCTGGTTAGCAGTAACCTAAAACCAAGACAACAGTACATAAGTGTTCGCAATAAAGCGAACAGAATCCTTGACTTCATATCGAGAAGCATAAATAATAGGAGTCCTCAGGTTGTTCTTCAACTCTATATATCCTTGGTTAGGCCTCATCTAGATTATGCTGCACAGTTTTGGTTACTGCATTACAGAATGGATATACGTAAATGATCTGGAAAACGTACAAAAGAGGATGACAAAGTTGATCCCACGTATCAGAAATCTTTCCTACGAGGATAGACTGAAGGCCCTGAATCTGCACTCTCTAGAAAGGCGTAGAGTTAGTGGGATTTGATTGTGGTGTATAATTGGAAGACAGGAATAAATAAAGGGGATGTAAATAGCATGGTAAAAATATTTTACCCAGACAGGATTCACAGCAATGGCTTTAAGTTGGAAAACTTAAGATTCAGGATGGATATAGGAAAGCATTGGTTTGGTAATAGAGTTGTGGATGATTGGAACAAACTCCTGCGTACCGTTACAGAATTACAGATTAATGTCATTACCCGAGGGTCCACTGTAATTGGAATTAAGTCAGATTTGGTATAAGACACTCTCTCTCTAGAACAGATTAATTATGTTATCCAGGGGTCCACTGTATTATTGTTAGTATTTATTGTTAATTCAGGTAATGAGAGCACAGATCTAATTCCCTAGAACAAGAGCCCCTCACCAGCATCAAGGTTACTTGATTCTGGTGAGGGGCTCTTGATCTAGGGAACTGAATCTGTGACCGGTTCTCTAAATTAATAATATTTAGTATTATTATTATTATTGTTATTATTATTATTATTATTATAACGAAAGACCTTCAGCTCCCTAAATTAATAATAATAATAATAATAATAATACAGTGGAACCTCAAAAATCGAACGTATCACATATCGAACGTTTCGAAAATAAGACCATTTTTTCGGAAAACTGTGTCCCTATTATCAAATGCGCCCCTATTTTCGGACCGCCGGGTACGGGACCTGTCCGCTGGCCCGCTCTGTCCGCGTCCTTGCGCAGGCGCCGTGAGCAGTCTAGCTTTGTTTATGCTTAAGTGAACACTAACCTGCGATCTCATTCACACATTTTCCGATTATTTAATTGTGTTTAGTGCTTGTGGGGTTATGAAATAAGCTGCCATGGACCCAAAGAAACTTGCTAGTGGTACCCCTGTGATAAAGAAAGTGAGAAACACCATAGATGTGAAGAAGGAAATAATACAGAAGTATGAGATTGGAGTGAGACTTGTTGAGCTTGCCAGGATGTACAGAGGACTGTGGACAGTTACAGCAGGGCCCCACTTATACGGCAGGTTAGGTTCCAGGCTACCGCCATAAAGCGGAAACCGCCGTAAAGTGGAACACCCTTTTTTTCCACTTATAAATGCATACAAACATTAGATAACAAGTTTACACTAACATATATTAAGTTAGCAATAGAACCAGGCATCAAAAAACAATAAAAAAGTACAATACACACATAGTGCACTCATTACTTACCTTAAAATATTTATAGTCTTAATCTAGGGTGAGACAAGTAGTATTTATTGTAAGAAATCAAGTGTGGTATGTATGGTAATCAGTCAGGCTACCTTACCAGGCCACCCCACCCACACATACTATTCTATGATATTTAAGCATCCCAGAGCGATAAAATGTATATACAGTTCACTCATTACTTACCTTAAAATATAGGGTGAGATGAGTAGTATTTATTGTAAAAAATCAAGTGTGGTATGTATGGTAGTCAGCCAGGCTACCATACCAGGCCACCCCACCCACACATATATTCTATGATATTTAAGCATCCCAGAGCGATAAAATGTATATACAGTTCACTCATTACTTACCTTAAAATATTTGTAGTCTTAATGTAGGGTCAGGAGTAAGTAAATGAGATAAAACGAATAAATGAGAGAGAGAAAGAATGAGTACATGAGAGGGGACAGGAGCAGAGATATGTAAACAAACCAGGCGAACGTAAGTTTTGTAAACAAACGAAGTGTACACGTCTGGTTTGTGTACAAGTTACATTGTGTACAGGTTGTCTCTACATTGATACGGTAGAATTAATAAAGAAGAACACTCCCATTCTCATGTAACATCATTTTGAGAAGAAATGAAGCTCTGAGTGAAGGCAATGGAAATAAGTCACACTGACTTTTTTGGGTTATCCTAGGTTCTCTACACATATGTTGTTATGTATGATAATCTATGTAACTGTATTTGTGTATACCTGAATAAACTTACTTACATACATACGAAAGGAATAATTTTCTACAGTTACCCCCAGTAACACATTTTCTCTTATGTTAGATTAGAGAAAATGTTATTCTTGCCATCACTTGTACAAGTTATCTGGCTCCCACATCTTATATTTATGTTTATTTATTCTATTGTGGGGTGTATTTATCATCTTTTTATGTTTATGTATTATGTGTTATTATATAATTTTGAAAAAAATATCATGGATGGATTAATGAAAATGTGTATATTAACGTAATATACGACATTTAATGAGACTCGGTGAGTATTGTTATTATTATTATTATCATTTCTAATATGGCGTCACTTGTGCAAGTCGTCTGCTACCACATCTCACATTTATGTTTATTTATTCTACTGTGGGGTGTATTTATCTTATTTATATGTTATGCATCAGTGTTTATTATATAATTTTGAAAAAAATAATCATAGATGGATTAATGAAAATGTGTATATTAACGTAATATACGACATTTAAATGACTCGATGATTATTATTATCATTACTAATATGACGTCTGGAGACATAAGACACTTACCGATTTTAATGTGTACCTGCATGCCAGCACAGTATGTAAGTTTATTTAGGTACAGGTATACATAAGTATAATTATCAGAGTATATATAAAATATGAAATAACTTTTAAAAACATTTGAAATTTTGGAGTTTCCAGACAAAATGGAGAGACTTAGTGCTTACTGAGCTCACGGAGAATGTAAACAAACAGGGTGGGGCACGGTGACCGTATTAGAAAGTCAGGTGGGGGGAGCCGTATAGCGAGTTTTGGTCATAATTTGAAATGACCATATTAGCAGAACGCCGTAAAGTGAAACGCCATAAAGCGGGGCCCTCCTGTATTTTGTGAGACAGAAACAGACGACTGTGGAGTTATTTTGTGAGACAGAAACAGACAACTGTGGAGTTATTTTGTGAGACAAACAGACAACTGTGGAGTTATTTTGTGAGACAGAAACAGACGACTGTGGAGTTATTTTGTGAGAAACAGACGACTGTGGAGTTATTTTGTGAGACAAACAGACGATTGTGGACAATTATTTTGTGAGACAGAAACAGACGACTGTGGAGTTATTTTGTGAAACAGAAACAGATGACTGTGGAGTTATTTTGCGAGACAAACAGACGATTGTGGACAGTTATTTTGCGAGACAGAAACAGACGACTGTGGACAGTTATTTTGTGAGACAAACAGACGACTGTGGAGTTATTTTGTGAGA